GGGCTGCCTAGACACCGCGTCTGCCTCTCTGCACCCTCACCCGTGGCCCTGCTCCTCCCGAGGCCACCCCCAGCCCAGCAAGCTGCCGAGCCTCGCAGGCCGTGCGTGCGTGCGTGCGTGCGTGTGCGCAGACGCCGTTTCTGGGGCAGAGCATCCCAAGCTGACCTCAGCCCGCAGAGTTACACCAGTGAAACCAGTGGAGTCGCGCCAAGGAGGATTTTGTCCCACAGCTGGCACTTCTTATGCTTAAACGTGTGCCCATCACGTATGGATGTCTACAAGTTGTCTTTGTTTTCCTGGCAAGACAGTTTCTCTTGAGCCATATCCTTGCCAGTGCTTGAAAACCAACCTGCCAGCAGCTCAGAAGCTAGCCCGAGTTTACGACACCCCCCGCCCATCTGATAGCACCACCATCCCCCAAGCTGACCAAGGAAAGACCTGGCACTCCTGCCCTGACTTGGTGTGTGCCATTGCCCTGTTGCAGAGTTGGGAGCAAGTGAGAAGAGGAGCGCAAATGATGGACAACCCTGTTGTCCTCTCAGATGCTCGTCTGCAGGTCACCATTGAGCAGGGTCCTTTGGGTTTCCGTGGTCTCGTTTAGCCTGGATTTGTCCTGCTTGCTGTCACTCCGGTCTGCATCGTCCATACCGCTGACCTTGACCAGGCAGAGGACATTCTGAAAGCTCTTCTTGAAGTTGTCGGACAAGAAGGCATAAAGGATGGGGTTGGCACAGCTGTTGGCGTAACTGAGGACCACGACAAAGTCAAACATGCCCTTGAGGACGGGCGTGGGCACGATCAGGACGGAGACAGAGGAGACGTTGAAGATGTAGAAGGGGAGCCAGCAGAAGATGAAGACAGCGACCACAATGGAGACCATCCTGGTGACTTTCTTCTCGGACTTTTTCCTCTTGGAGGAGCCCACTCTGATCCCAGAGGACTTCACTTTGATAATGATGAACAAGTAGCAAAGGCAGATAATGGTGAGAGGCACCAGGAAACCCAGAATGAAGGCATAGATAATGAAGCCTGTGTACCATGCACCAGACTCCCCCGGCCAGATGATGGTGCAGCTACTCCTGCCATGATTATGCTGCACTCCAGCATAAATCATGATGGGCATGATCACCAAAAGGGAGACACCCCATACGGCCACATTGATCATTTTGGCTGTCCTAGGCCGCCTCCACTTGGCAGATTTAATGGGATGGACAACAGCCAGGTAGCGGTCAACACTCATGACTGTCAGGCAGAAGATACTAGTGAACTGATTGATCCCGTCCACTGTCATGACAATCCTGCAGATGGCTTTGCCAAAGGGCCAGTGTACCAGCGCGACCTGCATAGCCAGGAAGGGCAGGCCTAGCATGAACAGCTCATCTGCAATGGCCAGGTTCAGGATGTAGATGTTGGTGATGGTCTTCATCTTGGCGTAGCGAAGGATGACATATATCACCAGCGTGTTGCCACACAGCCCTATAATGCAGACCACAAAGTAGATGAAGGTGAGGATGGCGTTGCTGGTCAGGTCAAAATGGTGGCCTGTGGCATTCTGTGATGTGTTGGCAAGTGGCTCCACAGAGAAGTTGTCGAATGGGGAAGCTGGGGAGAACCAGAACTCGGTGGCGTTGGGCAGCTCGAATTCCAGATCCATGGCTCTGCTGGTCACTGGGCACACCCGATTCAGAGGAGTCGAGATATCATCTTTCCTTGCTTTGGGGGTGGAAGAGAAAATTCTAGAAGTTGGAGAACAAAACAGAAATGAAGGGATTCCTCAGGGAGCATTTGGCCATCCTGCTGCCAGACTCTGCAGGAGGATCTCCCCGGAGGGGCTGTCCCCAAACCACCTCCCCCATCTCTCTGTCCTCCCCTCCAGAGCCCACGCTGCGCGGAGGAGTCCGCCCCAGCGCAACGCTGCTCCTCCTGACTCTGCTGATGCCGGTGTCCTCACGATTCCTAACGCACAACCGGCAGCACGCATCCCCGGTGAGTTACGGCAGGTGTGACGGACACCGCAGCACTAACCGCACGGGTAAAACCTTTCTTTCACGGAGAGAGCCGACGAGATGCCAGCGCTTCCCTTCCCCGGCCAGAACCTGATCTCGGATGGAAAATCTGAGCCCCGACAAGTTCCCGTGGAAAATGTGCCCGGGGTCAGGAAAAAACCCGTGCTCCGAGATCCAGCCCGCCGGCGCGCTCCCTTCCTTCTCCTTCCAGCTTGGGGACCGCGCTGCTCGCTGCG